ATTACCTTTATCGCATGTGTTTCTACCAATATATGCGTCATTACCACATCTACCATTAACAATAAAGATATTTGCTGATTTATATAACTAGATAAGCTAGAGAAACCTGTCTTAAACTCTCTGTGTATTATGCGTGCTTACAATTATGTCATTTCCAAACGTTTTTTTTTTATGAAGGAAATGCGTTTTAGGACATCGTTTGTAAATTCATCGGTTACTATAAGAAAAAAGTAATAAGTGACTATATCAGTTTTCGCAATTTCTTTCCGAAACATGATTTATATGTAATATGCAAGAAAAAAGAATCAAAGGGACAAAGGTCTTGGCGTTAATTCACACTAATTTGTGAAATTACGAATCACACAGTACAAGGAAGTATCAATACAAATGATTTTTTTCCTACCCGCGTAACCATGCGCATGACTGTTATAATGTGTAAATCATTTCATATTGCACATGATTTATTTTATATATATATATATATATATATATATATATATATATATATATATATATATATATATATATATATATATATATATATATATATAAAGTTAATCATATCAAATATCTTATTTAGAAAAAGGTGTGTTAAACTTAAATGTGCGATGATTGCTTTCAGTGCATTTATCGTTAAAGGTGAAATTTCTTTATTTTCTAAAAACGTATGCCTAATGTTATTGACACTTGTGTGCGAGAAAAGGAATTGATCAAGACATTCTTTGGTACGAGGGTGTTTCAAAAAGTAATGTTACTTGATTAATAAAATGAAGACGGCTAAAAGTACCTAGAAATGATTTTTTCAACCCATCAAAATACTCCCCCCTCAATCGAAATGCAATTTTGCAATCTCAAAAACCCAAAATTAGCCTGCCCTTGGTACCTGTATCGGACACTGATGCACTGCGCTTCCAGGTGCACTACTGCTATTATATCTCCGCCCCCGAAAGATCTTTAGCAGGACCAAGTAGAAGAACCATGACCTTCACGTGCATCAAAGGCATAGTAACTATACAAAGGGCTTTTCAAAATTACAGAAACATTAACAAATATTTTCTTGATATTCTCAGTTACCCCAATTATTTAAAAATAATCTGTGAATGAATGATATAAAAGAGACTAGACACAGCCATCAATGTAGTATGTTGACTCTGTATAACCCTCCTTTTTTAAATTTTGATAATTCGTATCATGACTGAAATAGTAGTGTGACCTTGACCTTAGAGGTACCTGATTCATGCTCACGATATACTTTAATTATGGTTTAAATATATTTATTTTTAAGCTCGATTGCGAAACAAGTTCTTGCAACTTATATTAATAATTTTCGAGAACGCTTCCTGGAACCAACCAGTACTGCTGTCATATAAAGAAACATGGTCATGATCCGAGTAGGGCTCGAATTCATGATCTCTGGGTTGAGATGCAGATACCTTAACCACATGGCCATCGCTCTCCTCAAATATTCATTATGTCCAACACATTTATGTAAAATGGTTATAAATACATCCGGGAATGACAGAATTGTTGACTAGACACGAGCATTGATCAGTACCTTTATAAAATTATAAAATTTCATATCATGCCATTTGATATGCAAGTGTGACCTAGACCTATGAGGTAGGAACCTAATTCTTTCGCTTTGCGTGCCAACATTATGCCAAAAAAAAACATTTGATATGTATAATAATTCTTAAGTACACCCATCAATGACAGCATTGTTGATCGGACACGAACATGAGTAAATTTTTGTGCCCCCACTTTAGGGGGAAGGGAAATTTGATTTACCCTTGTCCGTCCATCCGCTCTTAAGGGATAGTAATAATGTGGCTAGAGGGACAATAGGTAACTGTTCTTTCTCTTTGTTGATTTTCTTTTGAGTTGCTAAAAATAACAAAAGAGAGAACAATAGAGTAGCCACATTATTACTGTCCCGTTAGAACGTCTGTCCGTCCATCCATCCGTCCTTCCGTCCGTCCGTTCTCATTTTGTGTCGCACGTAGCTCAAAAAGTATTTGACCTAGAGTCATGAAATTTCACAGGAATGTTTATCAGCATGTGTTGTTTTGCACCTGTATTTTCGTGTGTATTTATTTAGTATGTGTAGAGTCGTTGTCCTTGACTTAATAAGTATTTGCAATTTTCAACTTGTGCTACACGTAGCTCAAAAAGTATTTGACATAGGGTCACGAAACTTTACAGGAATGTTGATCAGCATAAGAAGTTGTGCACCTTGGGTTTCGCTTGTGAATTTATATGTTTTGTCAGAGTTATTGCCCTTGACTTAGTGAAACTTTGCAATTTTCAATTTGTGTTGTGCGTAGCTCAAAATGTAATTAACCTCGAGTCATGAAACTTAACAGGAATGATGGTCAGCATGTGTAGCTGTGCACCTTAGGTTTTGCTTGTGGATTTATCCAGTATTTGTAGAGTTATCGCCATTGAATTAGTAAAAAATCGTTCCATTATGTTTTGTTATTTGTTCCTTAAGTGCTTGAGTTTGTCAACTTTACAGGAATAATGATCAACATCACTGTGAAGCTATGCACCTGGGATTTTGCATGTGTTTTTTTTTCAGTTTTGTCCTTGACTTAGTATAAATTTGCAATTTTCAACTTGTTTATACATAGCTCAAAAGTATTTGACCTGTATGCCTGAAAGTTTATAAGAATGTTGGTCAGCATGTGTACTTATGCACCTTGGGGTTCGCTTGTGGATTTATTCAGTATTTACTTAGTAAAATAATAATCTAAGTTTCCAACTTTTGGCACATGTAGCCCAAAAATATTTGACCTATAGTCATAAGATTGTCAAAACAGTGGAATGTGGGGGCACCCGTGTCCTATGGACACATTTCAAGTTTTATTAATTTCATGGAGTCAGAGTATGACTTGACCTTTGAGCTTCAGACCTAGATGTTGCACATGACACAAAGCCCAAATATACATAAATTTATACTAAATTATTGTAGTATCCATCCATAAATAATAAGAAAATTTTAACGGAAGGACGCTACAAAAACTGTATGCCTGTCCATTAGGGGCTGGGGCATAAAACACTGTTTAACAGACATTATTTTTTAAGTGCAATACTTTGAATAAAAATGACCAGTTTAGTGATATTTTAATATTAGCTAGACTATACTTAAGTATATGGAGAGCTTTCCTACTCACCACGGTGTCTGCGTCTTTATCCAGATTTCAGAAGTAAATTTATTTCTGAGGTATCAACTTCAAACGTCAAATATATATTCCTTATGATCAAGCACATCTTATGTGATAAGATTCATTACATCCGGAAATATCTCCCTTTGAACTTCTTAATTTTGTATTTAGGGATTTACTTCAAACTTAAAATATATATTCTATAATATCAACAACATTCTGAGTGACAATTTTTTTAACTCGAGTACCTATTTTTCCAGAATCATCTCTCCTTAAAGTTTGATTTTGTTCCTCAAGAAATCTTCTTAAGGTACCTACTTCAAACATGTCAACTTATCATCACCCTTACCAAAAAAAGGGCTCTCTGGTGAACATTGCGGCAAATTTGCCGCAAACATTGCGGTGAGTTTGCGGCAAACTGCTTTCAGCAATTATTTACCATGCAAATGAGGTTTGCGGCAAATTTGCCGCAACTCATGAGGTTAGCGGCAAACTTGCCGCAAACTATAGGGGGAGGTAGCTTCTGTTTGCGGCAAATTTACCGCAAACCTCATTTGCATGGTAAAAGTTTGCAGATGTTCGCCAAAAGTTTGCGGCAAATTTGCAGCAAACTTCATTTGCATAGTAAGTTTGCGGATGTTCGCCAGAAGCTTTTGGTAACACTGCGGCAAACTTCATTTGCATATTTGCCAGTTTCAGCAAATATGTTATGGCGATATTTTGGCAAACATTTTGGTAAAGTTCTGGCGAACAATTTTTCAAACATTGGAATAATAAAAACTAGCTGAATTATAAGAAAACAAATACATATTGGTTTAACACATTTTTTCAATAGAAAATAAAGGAAATATTACAAACATATCAGTAGAATAAAATGAAATTTGATAAATTTGTAAAATAAAGAAATTAATTCCCAAAAAGAGATAAATTTTACACACATTTTATTAGCAACTGATTCTATACATATTTGACTTTCATAAATTTCCACTCTTTAGTTATGATGCTATCATGAATTGTTCATATTACTTAATAATCAATTAAAACAAGAGCTGGTTGAACCGGGGTGATCCTAGATACAGAAAAGTATATCTTTTGAAGTTTCAGGGTTATGTCCCAGACAAAGTTCAAAGTGTGATAATTCCAAAATAGTTGTAAAATCCCACTTTAAATAACGACGTTATGGGCCATACACATTTTTGCTTCAAGGTCATGCTGTGACCTAGACCTTCAAGGTAATGACCCAAATGTTGCATGTGACATATCGTCCTCAATATGGTGATCATTTCGGTGAAATAGTTGTAAAATCCGACTTCAATTAACGAATTTATGGGCCGGACACGATTTTGCTTCAATGTCATGTTGCGACCTTGACCTTCAAGGTATTTGACCCCAAATGGTGTGTTGCGGGACACAAAATCGTCCTCAAATATTGGTGATCATTTTCTGTGAAAATAGTTGTAAAATCCGACATCAAATAACCAAGTTATGGGGCCGGGGAAACCATTTTTGTTTTAAGGTCATGCTGTGACCTTGACCTTCAAAGGTAACGAACCCAAAATGCTGCGCATCGACACAATCGTCCTCAATATGGTTTGATCATTACTTTTAAATAGCTTTAAAATTTCCGGGAACTTCCAAAAAATAACGAAGTTATGGGCCCAGGACATGAATTTTTGGTTCAAAGGGGTTCATGGTGTGACCTTTGGGCCCTTTTCAAGGGGTTAGCGGGGCCCCCAAATGTTTGCGGGCGACAGGTCGTCTTTCTAATATTGGTGAGCATTTCGTGTGAAATAGTTTTTTAAAATCCAAAATTTGAAATAACAAAGTTATGGGCTGGACACGAACTCAGGTTCGTATGTACGTACAGACAGACGGACAGACAACCCAATGACTATATGGTCCGCCGAAATTTTTCGGGGAGCATATAAACAATGTTTGACAATAGCTATTATTCAGCACATGTTGCAGTATTTCTTAGCACCATAAATGGGAAATATAATATTGTTGTAAAAGATAAAAATCAGAAAAGTTACAGTTTGAAATCTTCTATCTGGACAAAAAGTTTCATTCAAACATGAACTGGCATGGATTAACATACATACTTCGACATCCACTTAGACAAATCACTATTAATAACAATAAATACTAACAATAGCGTTATGTGTTATGCAAAAACAGACTAGACCAATAATGGCTTTCAAAATTGTAAAAATGAATCTCAAAAATATATTTTGGTCTTAAACAAAACAACATATTTTCATGGACATAATACCTTCAGATTTAAACTCATATGTCATATAACATTATGATTGTGAGCAAAACAATATCTGACACGAACAATTATGGCTTTCAAAATTGTTAAAATTAATCACAACAATATATTTGGGTCTTATACAAACAACGAATTTCATAGACATAATTTTTTGTTTGCTTGTTTTGGGTTTTTACGTCACATCAACACAGTAAAGGTCATATCGTGACGTTCAGGTGCCCTTCCTTGCATTATTTCAGGCACGAACGGGTATCTGAGTAGAACCACTGACGTTCAGTTAAGCTAGCTGGATAGCTTCCTCACAAGACAGATTCCAAAGTCCCTGTCGGGATTCCAACCCACAGCGGTGAGGGGCAAGTGGTTTGAAGTCAATGACCTTAACCACTCGGCCACGGATGCCCCTCATAGACATAATAACTAAAGATTTAAACTAAATGTCTTTAGTCATGTCATATAACAATTTCAAGCAAAACAAAAACAAACTAGAGCTTTAATGGCTTTCAAAATTGTAAAAATGAATTTTAACAATATTTTTGGGTCTTATACAAATATAGACATAACTATTAAAGATTAAAACTAATTGTCTTTAGCCATGTAATATAATGATTGCAAGCAAAACAAAAACTGACTAGAACAATAGTGGCTTTCAAATTTGTAAAAATGAATCTTAACAATATATTTTGGTCTTATACAAACATAAACATAATAACTTAAGAATAAAACTAAATGTCTTTAGTCATGTCATATAGCGATTGCAAGCAAAACAAAAACTGACTAGACAATATCGTAGGTTTGCATGAAATTGGCTTGGCAATTTATGAGATGTTGTTTAAAGATCAAGTTTACGGACGAAAGATAGACAAAAGCTTGCAATGTCACTTTGTTAGCTAAAAACGCACTACTTTACTCTTTCACTCTTCCAAGTTTCAGTGCCCTGGCCATTGTGTGTATTTTGGTGTTGACTGCTTTGGTGACTAAGCTTCTCTCCATATTTAGTTTATTGGTGCAGTACACTGAAAAAAACAAGGTTTATTTTTCATTTCCATGTTACCATGTTTATACTGGATAAAAACTAGAACTATCACTGAAGGTGAATGATACCCCAAAACCCCACTTTGAAGTAAAGTGGCAGTAATCTATTAGTAAAGCCCACCTACAAATGAAGAAAATAAACACCAAAGGCAATTATTATTTATTGCTGGCTTGATTTTGATCTGTTGGGATGAACATGTATTTGCATTGCAAAACCTAGATTTATTTACAAATGACAAGTGGCTCATATATTATAAGTTTATCTAACTTAGTTAAGAAATCAAGGTATCATGTTAAAAAAACACCAAAATAACAAACAAGAGCGATCAGTGATCACATGTGTCGCCTCATGATGGCCAATTTCATGTTGGGACAAGTTTTGTGACAGACAGACAGTGCACAACTAGACTTGGTACTGATCATTCCTTTAAAGTTTGGATGAAATTGCACCAGTAGTTTTTGAGGAGTAGTCCGGACAAGCTTTTATGTATCTGGCAACACACAGAAAAAAAACACCTTTTCATCAAACTTGCCAAAATATCATTCAACCGGAAAACCTGTGCAATATGTGCAAGGACTTGAGCAACAGATCAATCCTGTAAAGTTTCATTGAAATTGCATTTGTGGTATAAGAGATGTAGTCCGGACAAACTTAAAAAAAGGGCCATACCTCTGACAAAAATCATTGAACCGGAAAATGCTGACAATATGCACAACTGGACTTGGTACTGATCATTCCTGTAAAGTTTTGATGAAATTGCACCAGTAGTTTATGAGGAGTAGTCAGGACAAGCTTTTTGTGTATCTGGCAACACACAGAAAAAAACACCTTTTTATCAAAGGGCCATAACTCGGCCAAAAATCATTCAACCGGAAAACTCATGAAATATGCACAAAGGACTTAAGCTACAGATCAACCCTGTAAAGTTTCATTGAAATTGCATTAGTGGTATAAGAGAAGTAGTCAAGACAAACTTTAAAAATAAAAATTATTAAAGGGCCATAACTCTGACAAAAATCATTGAACCGGAAAATGCTGACAAAATGCACAACTAGACTTGGTACTGATCATTCCTGTAAAGTTTGGATGAAATTGCACCAGTAGTTTATGAGGAGTAGTCCGGACAAGTTTTGTGACGGACGGACAGATAGACAAGACGACGGAGAAATGATCCCTATATGTTGCAACTACTCCATAGAGGCGACACAAAATGAACCATGCTGTGAACATGACAGCTAGGTCAGAACTCAAAGTTAAAACCAGGGTAATTCAAATAACCATTAGGATTTTTCTTCTAAATGCCACTGTTTGAAAGAACAATGTTGTCTTACTTGTATGCAAAACTCACTTTTTCAATTATACATCAATAACAGTGGTTAAAATATACACAGATACTTTTCTGACAAATTCTAAATCATTACTGACATGATGACTGAGAAAAAACTTGAAATGTGTCAATAAAACACGGATGCCCCACACGCCACTGTTCTGTCAATCTTATGACTCTAGGTCAAATAGTTTTTGGACTACATGTGCCACAAGTTGAAAACTAAAAATCAACAAAGGGCCATTAATTCTGTTTTAATTTAGTTGCAGCAAAAATTCCTTCCTTTACTACCATCTACACATTAAGTTTGTTAATCCCTGGAAGTTTAAAGCAAAATCTGCCATCCGGTTTAAGAGGAGTTGCGTTCAACAAGATTTTGGACAGACTGACAAGTGCCACGCTATATGCTCCCACATTGTTGGGGGATAAAAATAATCTTTATTTTACTTACATGTTAAACTGTCAAATCCTCTTTTGTGCCAGCAGTATCTACTGCACTGGACATACCACTGCGGGTTTTACAGGGAAATTTCGGGGAAAGTCTTAATCTGCTGTGAGGTTTTTTAAGATGTGGACCACTTCTGATTTGTTTTCAACCTTTGACTGTCTGTGAGAACTGTAATTGTAAAAATATATATTCAAAAATATTTTCTGTATTTTAAAATTCATCTTTAAACGTAATATTGACAAATATTGAAGATTGAACACCAATGAATTGACAATAACATATTTATAATTAATGTAACACAATGTTCATACAGTTACTAGAATAAGTTTTTGTTAATTATTAATGCTAATTGCACGACTTTTTCCTGACCAATTTTAGTAATCACTTTTATGAAATAATTCCGACTGCATATCGATTATTCATCACATGAAGATACATCAAATTGTTTCTATTGAAGACGACCCCAAATAGCATTACAAAAATATCACAGTATTATCATTTAATTGCTACACCATGATTATAAATATATATAAAAAAAACTCATAGATTTCAACTTACAGTTTAATAGGCATTTTTGTTTGATGTATTGTTGAGGATTGTTAATCACAATTGTATAAATCTGACCATTCACTGTCATTTGTAACTGTAGCATTTGACTGATGAATAGACCTTGAATAAAAAAAAAAATACATATGTACAAAAAGTATATGGAGAGATATTCATATATTGAAGCAACTGACATAACACAAACAGTTAAACAACACCAGTCAGTTTTGCATAGTCCTTTACTTTCGTAAATAAACAAAATACAGAAAACAAACTACCAGTACTCACTTTAGTGCTGGCAAACATCTGGCAAAGGACATCCTCCGAGATCTTGTCAATAAGATCTTCCATGATGTTGTGTTCTGATACCATTGGTTCTTCATGATGCACATCCCTTAAAAAGAATGCATGTATTTAATATGAATTTTAGTCTTAACCAATGAAGGTAAAATATGATAAACAAGATCAACAAGGAAAGGTGGCGTTCAAATGAACGCAACCCCCCATATGACCAAGCAACAAGTACCAATGGCAAGGAGCCCAGGCGGACCCAGTTTGTCATGTAGAAATAAATACTTTTTTTAAAAAAAACAATTACACATTCATGTTATTTTGAAAAAAGAAATATGTACATGAATATAGAGTAACATGCAAAAACAACAAAGCCATTGGTTTTAAAAATTCTTTTCTCATATATGGATTGTATAATATTCTTTGGTTCCCTAAACCACGAGTGTGCCAGCAATATATAGATTATACCATGATAAGCTGCATAGACATATAATTACAAAATAATTTTTGAAATTCTTTCCAATTCAAGTACATGTTATTTCGAAAATATCATTGTAAATGTAAATGTGTCTTACTCCATTTCCTTGATCTTATGCAGCAGATTCTGTCGGCATAGAAGCCAGTGCTGTCTCAATGATATTTTCCAACACGTCTCTCCATTTCTTTTCATGTTTTTATTTCCAATTGTTGGTATATTTAGTGTTGACAACAAATTGTTGACCCTCACCGGCCCACCTACACTATCAATCATTGCTGTAAGAAAATGAAAGAAACAAATTATTTCATTAAAGTATACAAATATTTTGTCAAAAAAAAACTTCACATGGATTGTAATTTACATAACCATGATAATAACACATTGCATAAATTAATATAGAGCTATTTTTAGCTGCCTCATGTACGTTGAATATTTAGTACTACTGTGACTGTGTGCATTGGCAGCCTAGTGTAAACTGTGTCTTTTTATATAATGTACAGGTAGGATTCTGTAATGTCTTACTAAAAATTGCATTGTTGCAAGATTTAATTTAGCAACGTTTTAATCATTTGTTTTTCAAATTTCTCAGTGACTTTGGGGAAATTAAAACAGTTCAGAGGGAAGTTTATAAAACATTTCACAATAGGAAGTGGCTAGCCGTACGGGCCCGTAGTGCTAGCCAAAAGTTCTAGCCGTACGTGAGTCACGTACGACTAGCAAGGACACACTGTATTGGCTAACCGTACGGCACTTTTTCAAAATTATATGGAGTATGTGAGTCACGTACGGCTAGAACTTTTGGCTAGCCGTACGGCTAGCCACTTCTTTCACAATAAGGAGTAGTGTTTTACAGCTAAACACAAACAAGATACATGTATTCTGTATAATAAATTAATTATTTATAAATCTGAAACATAAATTTGGTCCGCATAATTTTACATGTTTGACATCATTGGAAGACGAGTAAATAAACACTGATAAATCATAATGTATCGATATATTCATTTTGGTACGAGACATTACATCTATGAATTCATTATCAGTATATAGTACTTAATGTAAACTATGATGCAATACATTAATCACTTACCTGTTCCTAATTTTGTTGTTGACAACGAACCATGGCATTCCAACTTTCACAGGTCTTCAATTTACTAGAGTCTGTGTGTTTGTCCCATAGGGAACACAATTCACATGACCGCATTCTGTGTTTCGACATTTCACATACAAATAACCAGACACTCCCTGTTTAAATTCACCTAACATGTTGTCAAAAGTTAATCAGTGCTGTTAATGGTAGCCAACTGGTCCAAGTCTACATTTTTTACAAAATCTTAGGTTTGACCGTAACACGCCAAACTCAACGATTCTTCTTCCCTCTTTCCAACCCTCATTATCAACCGATTTAGGAAGAGTTGATGTCTTGTAGAGCTGGTTTGGTTGACACGTAATACTGGTTACCTGCACTATAGTTATGTTCTATAATAAAGTCGGAATACTTGAGTTTTCTGCATCTTTTTACACTTTTTTTTAATCGACCGAGCATATCACGCTGTAAGACGCCATGTTAGATATCTGCGGAAATTACGTCATTTTCTTGGGGAATACTACCACGTGACCGGGGATATTCGCTATTATTAGAATTCCGACTTTATACGTAAACAAAACGAAGTTCGTTACGATAAATGGCGAGATATGGCGGTAATTGTCGAAGATTGCCGATTTCATTATGGGTCTTCTACCTTATAATTTTTTAACTGTTATTGTGAACTACAATACCCTCCATGATACATATGATGTTTTCAATTTGATAACTCTAAGGCAAAAAAAAAAAAATTTGTTTGTTTCCACTTCCCGACCCATAAAAATAAGGTTGGGTAGGTAGGTAGGTTATAGCACGGACTTTAATTGACATTTAAATCCGTGGTTATAGGTAGGTACATGAAGGACTTTTTTTATATGTGCATAATATTTAATTCCTTGGCAAAAATAGTTATTTACTGAACAAAGTTGGATTAACTTTCAGAACTGATATGTTTGTGGCGATTATCTGGCAAACTTGTTTTTATAGAAAAGTTTCTGGTGAACTTTCAGCGAATAATTTTTTTTGATAGAAAGATTCTGGCAATCTCTGGCAAATTAGTTTTCCACTGAAAGTTTCTGGCAAACTTTTGGCGAACTACTTAATATTCTGGTGAATTCGCCGCAAAGTCGCCAAATGTTTGCCACAGAGTTGCCACTAGTGGCGATATCTGGCAAACACTTGACACAGTGTTTTGGCGAACTAAAAGGTTTGCAGCGAATTTGCGGCAAAGTTGCGGCGAGTTTGCGGCAAACCTTTCCTTTTGGTACGGGCATGCACCTTAATCATTTGTGACAAGATTCATAACTCTAGCATGAATGTTTTCAGAATTGTTTCCTTTCTTCAATAGGAATATTTGATTAAAAATATTATGTTTTTTACTCCATTTTCTTTATTTTTCAACGGATTTACTTCAAACTTTAAATTTAAGTTTCATATCAACTCCCATATAAAAATAACACGACAAGCTTCATAACTCTAGCATCAATATTTTAAGAAATATTTTTCTTTAATCTTGGGATTTTCATTCTTTAATCAGACTTCAAACAAATGCTTGTTATGAACACCTTTATCATTTGTGATTGCATTTATAACTCTACCTCGCGTATTTCCAGAATTATCTCCATTTGATTTTTTAACTTGAAATTTGTTTAGAAATTGTTGTATTTTTTAAGTTTTATCATTATTATTATAAATGGTTTCTACTCTAGACCTCGAGTATTGTTCTTTGTCATTAATGACATCATTGCAAGAGTTTTTCTTTTTTGACTTATTATTTACATATGTTTTATTTTTATCATTTTGTAATCGAAGAGAATGATTTTAGATTTCAAATTGTTGTATTTTCCATAAAAACATAGATATATCTGTTTTACTTCAATTGCCTTGGTCACATTTTAATTATATAATGCAAAATTATTCAATATTTGAGTGTTTTTTTGTGTTGTTTTTTTATACTGATACAGAAATATATCTTATCATAAATGATTTTTTAATAGTTTTATCTTTCTTTACTGAGTCCAGTATTTAGTAAGTAGAGTATGCTGTCTCGTCTGACAGCTCTTATTTTTGGTGTCCGGTTATGGTTTTCAAACAATAACTTAATGATAATAAAACTGAATTATTTGTTGTTGGTTGGTAAATGTGAAGTCAAAATACTACTTAGCTTACATTTTGCTACATTTTAAAAAAAAAATCACATTCTAATTTCTACCAATGATAAGCATCCAAAATGCTTCAAATCCATCATTATCATTACTTAACATTATTTTGCCCCTTTTCAAAAAGACAAATAATATTACTGAGGCATGATGTGCCAATGATATACCGTAAATGCAATTAACAAATTAAAGTACTTTCATTGTGAGTTGTAAGAGATTAAAACATTTTAATGTACTCCAATCTCTTTTTGTCTTATTAAAACTGAAAATCTTGATTTTTCGTTAAATCGTAAATGTTCACTATATCCTCCAATTTAAACTATACATTGTTGAAACATGATAGGATCATAGGATCATAAAACATTTAAGTGTGCTCAAAGTCAAAGTCAAAATATCTTTATTTTTCATCAATTCACAAAAAGTGACAACATGATACATTCCAGAAATTATGAAAATATTAAATTCGGGTAAAAAATAGGACAAAGAAGGCTAGCAAAGATCGCATTTTAGAAAAGTGAGGATCCTTTCACAAAGAAAAGGAAAAGTTGATTTAACGTTTCTTCTTTTGTATATAATTTCAGGCTACGAGAAAGTGTGAGAAAATCATTATATTCAAATTATGACAAATTGATTCAAAAATGATAAAATAAACAAGAGGGCCATGATGGCCCTGAGGTCGCTCACCTGTATAAAGGCACCAGGAGCGGGGCCAGTTTTAAACCCCAGGGCTTTATTTGAACAAACTTGGAAGACACCCATTAGAAGATGTTTCACGATGTTAAGTTTTTACTACACACATATAATGAAAAACAACAATCTACCCCCTCCTTTCGCCCCCCCCCCCCCCCCCCCCCTTGGCAGGGCCAATTTTAACCCAAGGGCTTTTATTTGACGAACTTGGTAGACACCCATAAGAAGATGTTTGATGCTAAACATCTAAGCTCTAGCTCATTGGGGTTTTTTTTAAAAGAAGATTTTTTTAAAGTTTTTACTTTACACATATAGTTAAAACCAATGACACCGCTGGGGCGGGGCCAATTTTGACCCCAGGGCTTTTATTTAAACAACCTTTGTAGACAATTACTAGAAGATGTTTCATGCTTAATATCTAAACTCTTGCTATTTGGGTTTTTTTTTAAAAGAAGATTTTTTTAAGTTTTTACTTTACACATATAGTTAAAACCAATGACACCGCTGGGGCGGGGCCAATTTTGATCCCAGGGCTTTTATTTAAACAACCTTTGTAGACAATTACTAGAAGATGTTTCATGCTTAATATCTAAACTCTAGCTATTTGGGTTTTTTCAAAGAAGATTTTTAGTTTTTGCTATACAAATATAAGGAAAATCAATAACACCCGGGGCGGGGCCAATTTTGACTCCAGGGCTTTTATTTGAACAAACTTTGTAGACACTCACTAGAAGATGTTTCATGCTTAATATCTAAACTCTAGCTATTTGCGTTTTTTCAAAGAAAATTTTTAAGTTTTTGCTATATACATATAAGGAAAATCAATGACCCCCGGGGCCAATTTTGACCCTAGGGCTTTTATTTGAACAAACTTGGTAGACACTAATTAGAACATGTTCATGCTAAATATCTTAGCTCTAGCTCTTTGAGTTCTTTAAAAGAATATTTTTTTAAAGTTTTTACTATATGCATATTGGGAAAATCAATGACCCCCTGGGGCGGTGCCAATTTTGACCCCAGGACTTTTATTTGAACAAACTTTGTAGACACTCACTAGAAGATGTTTCATGCTTAATATATAAACTCTAGCTATTTGGGTTTTTTCAAAGAAGATTTTTAAGTTTTTACTATATGCATATAGGGAAAATCAAAGACCCCCTGGGGCGGGGCCAATTTTGACCCAAGGGCTTTTATTTGAACAAACTTGGTAGACACTCACTAGAAGATGTTTCATGCTTAATATCTAAACTCTATATATTTGTTTTTTTTTTCAAAGAAACTTTTTAAGTGTTTACTATATGCATAGAGGGAAAATCAATGACCCCCTGGGGCGGGGCCAATTTTGACCCCAGGGCTTTTATTTGAACAAACTTGGTAGACACTCATTAGAAGATGTTTCATGCTAAATATCTTAGCTCTAGCTGTTTGGGTTCTTTAAAAGAAGATTTTTTAAGTTTTTACTATATGCATATAGGGAAAATCAAAGACCCCCTGGGGCGGGCCAATTTTGACCCCTGGGCTTTTATTTGAACAAACTTGGTAGACACTCACTAGAAGATGTTTCATCCTAAATATCTTAGCTCTAGCTCTTTGTGTTCTTTAAAAGAAGATATTTTAAGTTTTTACTATATGCATATAGGGAAAATTGGGTTTTTTTAAGAGAAGATATTTAAAGTTTTTCTTTCGGTTGCCATGGCAACCAGAGTTCTGCATGGAATTAAATTATTTGAACAATTTTTTAAGGTGACCACCAAAGGAACATTCCTGTGAAGTTTGGATGAAATTGGCTTAGTGGTTTATGAGGAGATGTCATTTAAAGTAAAAGTTTACGGACGGACGGACGACGGACGGACGGACGCCGGACGAAAAGCGATCACAAAAGCTCACCCTGTCACTTTGTGACAGATGAGCTAAAAACTTATAGGCGGAGAAAAGTTCTTTGAAACGAAATTAATGTACACCGAACGATTTTTTATTATTATCTCAATTTGTCTTGTTATGTCGATTAGGTTTTTTAATGAAGCAACGCTCCTACTTTTATATTTACAGCCTAATGCGCGTGTAGTCTGTGACATATAGCCGCGTGACATACCCAGTCTGAACACAAAAGAGCCGCGTCACGACAAAACCAACACAATGGGCCCCCGACCAGCATGGGCCCAGACCAGCCTGCGCATCCGTGCAGTCCGATCAGGATCCACGCTGCTCGCTAACAGTTTCTCTTCTTGTAATAGGGTTTGTAAGCGAACAGCATGGATCCCGCTCAGACAGCGCGGACGCGCAGGCCGGTCCGTATCCATGCTGGCCGCAAACTCACTACGTCGGCCCTGTCGCGACACGGCTCAAATAATCTATATTAAGTAACGCGGAATCGAAATCTTTCGCTTGAGTAATTTTAATTGTAAACGTTGTAAAGCGGTATGTTTACATAAGGCGAGACGGAATTTTATCTTTCTTTTTTTTGAAATTAAGTTTCAAAAAGCTGTGGCACCAGTATCTCTTTACTTTTTGAAAAAGCGCTAGTAAGGTTTGACTATCGAATAAGATTAAAGTATGTTATGACTTTTCCGGCCATTATGGCTAATGGTGTCAAGATTGTTTCTGACTCTGAGGAAAATAATTCTGCGAACTTAATCACGTTTGGATGCCTATAGAAGTATGGTTTAATAAATCGCTTTCTTTCACTATCACAAAGTGGACAGCGGAGGATATAGTGAAAAATATCACCAATATCGCACTGTGTGCAAAAAGGACATTTCCTTTGATCGTACGGAATTTTTGGATTTGGCCGTGACCCAGTTTCAATAGGGAGCCTGTTATTTCCTGATCTTAAATGGAATAAATTTAAACGAAGATTTTGGGGTAAGTTTCAAGTTTTAATTCTCTTTTAAATAACTTATAATTTGAACATTTAGCTGATTGTAGCATTGGACCGTGCCATTTCTGGATAAACTGGTCTGTCAGTGTTTGTTTAACTAAATGATGTATATTTTTTAAGTTTACAGTATTTTGGTTAAGCCAGATATAGGTATATCCCGTGGAATCTAATATTGATTTGACAGTATCGATCCACTTAAAACTTGAATCTGAGTGGAGCATAAATTCATAGCATTTTCTCGCGATCTTTTCTGTTTTTCCTGCTAAGAGTTTGCACCAAAATTGGATAATTCGTGACTTGATTACAATTTCTAGTGGAACTCTCCCCATGTCCCTATATAGGAAGGAAAGCGGGGTGCTTCGTTTACTTTTTGTTATTTTTCGCAAAAATTCCGTATGAACCCTTTCTATAAGATCAAGGTTTTCTATTCCCCACACCTGCTATCAACATGTACGGTAACAAACCATGTTATTATAATTAAATGCTCATCACTGGCCAGAGATAGGAAATGTTGGGGAAAAATCGAAATCTTGGGTAAATGCTTAGGACTGTAAGTATGGAAAACTGCGTTCCTTATTACAGGTCAAGTAAAGTTTTCTAAAAAAAAAAAAAAATACTGCCAGCATTTTAATGACACAGTATATGCATATTTTGACCACCTACAGTGTGAAGTATTTTTAAACATAACATATCTTCTTTGAATGAAATCAAAACATATTTATTTTATTTTTATATAGAGACTGTTTGTATAGCAATTACCAATATATTCAATGATCAAATTTCAGCACAGTGCATCTTTTATTCCCAAATTTTTGGTTGGAAAATTGTTAATCATTTTACGTGAAAAGTTGCATAAATATCAATAACAAACAAATACAGTGTGTTCGGTTTCATTAAAAGGTATAATGAATGCAAGCTATTGAAATTTCTACTAGCACAAATAGATGTTAAAGGGTTAAAACCATCTTATATAATTACTTGTTAGTATTTAGTATATTTATTCAAAAATATGCTTACCGAATAAAAGTAATAAAGTTGCCCCAAACCGCATTGTTTCCGTGTGTCCTCAGCGCGTCCTTTAGAGTTTGAAGATACAAAATGATAAGTTCAGGGTAGAAATTTCTTCTTTTCAAAATGCTTGTTGGACGAGTGCCAGTATATGCCTTTTTATATGTATGACTAATGTGGGGAAAACACCGTCTGATTACATTGCTACGGTACTTCCTGAATTTAAATAACAATATACCATATATTTCATTTTACGTAATGTCATTTTATTAAATAAAAAAAAAACATTTGTATAATACTGCGAATTCACTTATATTCGTGGGCATGAAATTTCGTGGTTTTATCAAAACGGGCATTTTCGTGGGTTCTTAAATTCGTGGAATTTCATTTTCTTGTAAAGAAATTCAGTGTAATCTAAAACTTAAGAGCAGAACATTTTTTACTTACGGCATGTGCATATCTTTACGTGTCACACAGCGCTTGTCAATAAATTTAATCCTTGCCGCTGGGCATTACTCTAATATAGCACAGTTACTGCCGATAATTGATTGCAATTAATTCATTTATGTGACATGATATGCACCTCCATTGGGTAATTCGCCGATGTAAACATCGCATAATTCATACGACACCAGACACGTTTTAACCAGCCAGTTAAAAAAGTTTACATCCTGAATTGGTCTTACCATATTTGACAGTAACTACACCCAACGTCACAGTGACTGTGTAAATTTAAATGCATATAAATAAATCTGAGTAAATAACACTAGTATGTGTGGATCTAGTAAAAGTCGGTGGCGTCTTTGATGTTTATGGAATAGCATTCGCATAAATTTATACAGATTAGAATTCATTTAAACAGGATCATTTGGGGCGTCCGTGGTCGAGTGGTTTAGGTCGTTGACTTCAAACCAATTGCCCCTCACCGCTGTGGGTTCGAATCCCGACAGGGACTTTAAATTCTTTCATGTGAGGAAGTTATCCAGCTAGCTTTCGGAACGTCGGTGGTTCTACTCAGGTGCCCGTTCGTACCTGAAATAATGCACGGAAGGGCACCTGAGGTCTTCCCCCCACCAGTAGAGCTGGAACGTCGCCACATGACCTATACTGTGTCGGTGTGATGTAAACCCCAATCAAACAAACAAACAAATAGGATCATTTAAAAACGGAAAAAGAATGTACAATTCATCTGTTTTAGCGATCGTATTTTTTATAATTTTGTGTACTTACGACATTTATATCAAAGACTTTTTTTTAAATTAATAATAATAAACTGACATTTTTTATAAACGCTAATTATTGCATCGCCTGGGTTCCCATATTTACTCGATTATGTCAAGTATTCTTGTTAACACAATCAAGGAGACTACAATGATCACGTGTGTATATGCGACCGACATTTGTGATACTAAATTGAGTACATACATGTATAATCGAGTTTTCTTTCAAGTTTCTAAAATATTGCAAACGGATTTAATCTGTCACCTGATTATCTGTACGTATATACGTCTATTTCACGTATATCAGCCGGAAAAGAGCCGACGAATGTTTGTAATATATAGAACAGAGACAGGATAAGAAGTATTTGCTGGGAAAAAATTTCGTCGGATCTTAAATTCGTTGATTGACCTACCCACGAAAACCACGAAAATTCGTGCCCCACGAATAATAATGATTTTACAGAAATAGCATATAAAATATACATAATCATGGTGCATGTAAAAGCTGGATTTAGGGAGAGAATTTAAAACTTAATCATATGATGTATTAAGATCTTGTGAGAACACATTATCAAGTAGTTTGAAAGATTGTATATAAAACTGGTGGTGATTTACAAAGCCTTTAGTTATTTAATTCGCTGTTTTGATTCTACCTAAACCAATGAATGCAAACTTTTTTCAGTACTTATTAATTCTATTAGTTTACACATACTCGGTAGCCTGTTATATCATAATATTATAACATATATTAGAGTACTGGTTACATTCACATATAAAATGGAATTCATCAATGTCTCATTATTATATAACATTTGAATTTATTAAATAAACCAAATACTGATGATAAAAACATTTCATATCCAGTTAATTGTTTTGAAATAACACTTTGACATTGTTTGGTGACATTTTATTTTGAAAACCATGAACTTGTTGAATGATACTCTTGACTCAACCATAATATGTGTGTAAAGTACAGAAAGATTATTATTTGACGGTGGACAGCCAAACTATAAGGTAAAACAAGTTTGTACCATAGTTTGTAGACCTTTCTGTTGAAAATGTGTCCGAGTTAAATCGTATACATATACATGCACGGTGCGTTAACTGGAATGCCGGTACTAGTTACCCGCACTCCAAAGCATGCCCATTGATTGGCTCATTTTTGCTGGGGTTTACATATTGTGACGGCAGTGAAAGTGAAATCGACAGAAATGTCATATTTAGATGCTCGTTCATTGGTTCATTTTTGCCGGGGTTTCATATTGTAACAACAGGGAACGTGTTTTTATGTTTGACTATGATACAAAAGAGAAAGAACACCAAAACACTCGGTAATCTGATTAATACTCGGGGGCTACGCCCCCTCGTACAAATCAGATAACCTCGTGTTTCGGTGCTCTTTCTATTACTTAAGTCATTTTATTACAACAACGGCTTGCCATAGTTGATCAATGCTGAATACGTCGATAATAGAGTGTTTTCCATTTAGGAAGTTGTGTATGCAGTCATGCGCATTGAAGCTAAACATCTTTGACCCAGTTCAGCATAAACTGAATTTCTTACGGTAAATTTGTAGAAAAGGTGTCTGCTTTTTCACGCAAAATATAAATTATTTTATCTTGCACTGAAAAGTAACGCGTACATAGTGGAAACTTTAAGTACGCCGATAATACGGCGTTCCAGGCTAATCGGTTCTTAATATAAGACCGTATTTTAAAGGTATACTCTAATATTCTACCTACCATTTTTTGTGTCGCCTCTACGGAGAAGTGGCGACATATAGGGATCACTTCTCCGTCATCTGTCTGTCCGTCTGTCTGTCTGTCCGTCCGTTCGTCACAAAACTTGTCCGGACTACTCCTCATAAACTACTGGTGCAATTTCATCCAAACTTTACAGGAATGATCAGTACCAAGTCTTGTTGTGCATATTGTCAGCATTTTCCGGTTCAATGACTTTTGTCAGAGTTATAGCCCTTTAATAATTTTTAATTTTAAAGTTTGTCCGGACTACTTGTCTTATACCACTAATGCAATTTCAATGAAACTTTACAGGATTGATCTGTAGCTCAAGTCCTTGCGCAATTTGCACGGGTTTACCGGTTGAATGATTTTTGGCGGAGTTATGGCCCTTTGGTAAAAAGGTGTTTTTTTCTGTGTGTTGCCAGATACACAAAAGCTTGTCCGGACTTCTCCTCATAAACTACTGGTGCAATTTCAACCAAACTTTACAGAAATGATCAGTATCAAGTCTAGATGTGCATATTGTCAGCATTTTCCGGTTCAATGATTTTTGTCAGAGTTATGGCCCTTTAATGATTTTTATTTTTAAAGTTTGTTCGGACTACTTCTCTTATACCACTAATGCAATTTCAATGAAACTTTACAGGATTGATCTGAAGCTCAAATCCCTGCACATATTGCACGGGTTTTCTGGTTGAATGATTTTTGGCCGAGTTATGGCCCTTTGATAAAAAGGTGTTTTTTTCTGTGTGTTGCCAGATACGCAAAAGCTTGTCCGGACTACTCCTCATAAACTACTGGTGCAATTTTATCCAAACTTTACAGGAATGATCAGTACCAAGTCTAGTTGTGCACTGTCCGTCTGTCTGTCCGTCTGTCACAAAATTTGTCCCAACATGAAATTGGCCATCATGAGGCGACACATGTGATTACTGATCGCTCTTGTGTATTACAATGTACGAGTAAACAATGTATAATGTTTATGACGTCATATTGTGTTGTATTTATTTTGCTAAATAAGTATCCAGCACTTAAATATTGGAACTTTTCTTTCCATCCAATAGTTTTAAAATAATGGACAGTTACTGATTTTTACTTGCAGGTGTGTGAATGTTATACCACTGAGGCATTTAATTCACCAATCTTCTTCTAAAGTTTCGGCTTCTGTAGTTCAAAATATATGCTAAGTTGAAATGCATGTTCTTGTAATTGAATTTAAAACTTTGCAATAATTTATTTTTGATATTGTTTATATCATTGGATAATTCCTATTATTTTTATAACATTATTACTTGAGTTAAACTTTCTTAATTGTTTGATGACAAAGAATTTATTTTCTATTTGTGAATTGGGAGTGACTATTGTTTGGAAATAATTTACAAAAATATCTGTATGTGTATGTACTGTGTGATTTTACTCAGAAGCTTACTAATTAACTAAATAATCATGCATGTCTTTAGCAACACTCTAGATTTGTGGTAAATTGATGTCTTAATTTAGATTATTCCTTGATTAACTATAGCGTAACCAGTAATTTCATTGATTTTATACACATGTAGATACAAAGCACAACAACATTTTTTATCAATTAAATAATAAAAAAAAACGTCGAGATGAAAGAATAATTATCATGGGCAAAACAATAAGAACATATACATATATATGTGTATATATATAATAAGGTGACTTATGGTGATTAATGCTTTCGAGGGATCACTTTGTTTCCAGATTTTTACTTCACAACAGCAGGGGTCAAGTGCTGTGTGGCAGCTGTAAAAAGTTGCCCCGTACTTCACTTCAGTGTTTTTATATTTTTCTGGTCCTTCGGGATCATTGATGCCAGCACTATTAAGTGTTGAGAGTGTTGTAGCCGGTTCTAGAGGGCGTAAGGGATGTTGCACATTTTATTATTGCTCATGTACAGACTCAATCAAATCGAGTCTGTAATTCTATTGTGATTTTGTTGTAATTGATGCTTTAGAGGGATCACTTTGTTTTCAGATTTTTATACTTCACAACAGCAGGTGTCAAGTGCTGTGTGGCAGCTGTAAAAAGTTGCCCCGTACTGCACTTCAGTGTTGTTATATTTTTCTGGTCCTTCGGGATCATTGATGCCAGCACTAAGTGTTGAGAATTGAGCACCGATCAAGCCGGTGCTAGGGGGCGTGAGAGATGTTGCACATTTTCAGTATCCCTCATGTACAGACTCAATTACATGTACAGCAATTCTCTTTTGA